ATTGTGTGAGTGCTGCATCCACGGTTGGGGTGGGGGGGGGCATAGCTCCTTTACAATATAATGGAGAAAAAGAGGCTTGTTCTTCCCTACCTTTTGCTCCTGTTGCTTTTGCTGTCTTCTGCCACCTTAAACTGTTGCCCTTGTGCCCTGCCACCCTGCTTTGGAGCCAGCTCATTGCTGACTGAAACATCCACAGACTGTGAGCTAAATAAACCTTTCCTTCTTTAATTTTGGGTACTGGGTATTTTGTCTCAGTAACAGAAAAAAGTAACCAAGACTTTATCATAATAGTCTTCTGCAGTGCTGGAAATCTGCTTTCTAAAAGGTATAATTATTGGTGAAATTTCTTTCTTGAACTATAGGAATGATCTTTTTTTTTTCTTTTTCTTTTTTTTTTTTTTTTTTTTCTTTGTCTTTTTGAGATAGGGTCTCGCTATGCAGTTCACGCTGACCTTGAGCTCACTTTGTAGCCCAGGCTGGTCTCGAACTTGCAATGATCCTCCTGCCTCAGCCTCCCGAGTGCTAGGATTACAGACATGTTCCACCATACCCAGCTAAGAATGATCTTTTAATTACCATTTCATTTATGCCAGAACAGTATTGTTACCCATGACTTTGGATTCCTTATGCAAAGAGAGATAAGAATATACTATTTACTTTAACATCAGATTATGTTTGTTTGCTGGTGAGAATACAGAAGAGAAGAAATTGATGATGCAAAAGAGAGGGCTAGTTGCAAAAAAGGACTTGAGTGAGCAATGAGAAAAGTAGGAGGATCATGGACTGGGGATTTGTGGTTCCATAACACAGCTACCAAATTCTTTGCTACCCAGTGAGAGATGGGCCCAGTGAGAGATGGGCGCTTCTCTTGAACCTGCACAGGCTTATGAATCCTGTGACCAATAGATTTGGCAAAAATGATACCACATAACTTTAAAGGCAAGGTCAGAAGAGGTCATGCAACTTCCACCTGGCCCCAGACTACCCTGAGCCTACCAGCTGGGAAGGCCACTGCAGGTGCTGCTCCCAGAAGACATCTTTTGGACAAATCATTGTAGACACACAGTCCAGCTCACCCAGACTACCCAACAAGAGACCCTGGCAAGAATTCCCTTCAGAGTCATTCCAAAGTCTCTGACCCCAAACTGCCAAGTAACTTGACATTATGAAATACCAACTAAATTTGAGGATAATGTGTTACACACCATTGGCACATGGCACACATTTCTTGTGGAGTGAAAGAACTGTGAGTATTGTAATATAACAAGAGAGCAAGAAAAACAGGAGGTCATAGTCACAATATCAAATACTTAAAACCAAGATTCAGAAGGTAGTGAAGTTATTGGTTATGACAGAATCTCCAAAAAGGTATAACTCTATTTTTTTGTGGTGTTGGTTATCAAACCTGAGACCTTTTGCATATTAGTCAATGACCCAACCCCAGAGCTATATCCCCAGCCCAATTTTTCATTTTTAGTAAATATTTGTATGCAGATTTAGCCATTGGCATTTTATTTTGTTTTTTATTTCTGTGAAATATGAGTAAAATAAAAGACTGATGGTTTGCAATTGTTTGTTTTTTTAATCTATGTTAAAAAATATCCTGTATCTTCTCTAGGCTTGTTGTGGTCAGGACTGTTGAAGATGTGTTGCTGTCCCAATTATCCCTTATAAGTCAAATCAATTTTGTGCTTTGTACTAATGGTCCACACCATTGTTGGTCTAGAGAGAGGAAAAAAAAAAAAGAGTATTACAACAGAACATCCTTCAGTCTCCAGCACTGTCCTGAAAATGCCCAAGAAACACACACACACGCACACACACACACACACACACACACACACACACACACACACAGAGGAAAGGAAAAGGCGTCTGGAAGGACAGGCAGTGGGTAGTCAGGAAGGCAGCAGGAAACTAGCAGTGCCTGTGACCCACAAATGGAATGAGGAAAGAACTTCTGGGAGGGATCTCTCAGGTTACTGTGGACCTCAGTGCTGCCATCTGTGCAAGGTGCTCTGCTGGTGACTGTGAATTTGATAAAATGTTTGTGATAAAAGAAACATAAACTCCTTTGGGAAAGAGAGTTACTTTTCACTACTACAACCCTGAGCTAGATAGAGTGGTCTTGAGGGGCTGGGAGAAGGTGGACCCAGGGTGAGGACCAGAAGGAGTGTGAACATAGTGACCATGAGTAGGTCCTGTGCCTGCATTTTAACCCTGGGACTTTCCACAGGTCAGGTACCCTCATATCACCATTGTGCTGATGAAGAAATGGAGGACCTGATGGATTGAGCAGTTAGCTCATAGTCAGAAATTTGGTGGCAAAATAAAGATTAATACTACAGTCTCTCTGACCCCAAGGCTGGTGACCCTCCATCTTTGCTCTGGGGCAATATGGAAGCTTCCACATCATCATCTTATGCTGTTTTTACTCTTCCTAGAGTCAGGGGTGATCATCTGATAACGTTTACAAAGCATGTGGGAGTTGTGATCTGCAGTGACTTCCAAGGTTGATGCAGCTCTAGATGATGTCAACTTGGGGGCTCTGTTAGAAGAAGTCATTAGAGTTGAGTAAGTCACCACTTATTCACCAATCAGAAGTTAAGGCATGACTGGCCAAGGGTGTTGGATGGATAATTTAGGTGGATGTCCAAGTTACTAGCTTGATAATGAGCCTCAGGATCAAAAGGAAACCTAGGAAGTTAGGATCTAAATGCGTTATATATTCTGTGAAGATCTCAGGCATCTTATAGGGAAAATCAGAGAGTGATAAATATATCTTCAGACTCTTTGAGCCTCAAGTATAGGAAATGTTTGTGGTGCTCCTCAAATAAAAAAAAAAAAGCATGATGACAAAGACCTGATGCCCCAGATTCATTAGAGTTCATAAGCCCTCCCATTCATATATTATTCATTTACCCACTGTTATGGTTTGTATCTGGATGTTCCCCAAAGACTCATGCAGTCATGGGGTGGGCTTCTAGAGTTATGGTCCTATGATGGGACTATGGGTGTGAGTGCTACACCCGCCCCCTCCCCCCGGGGCCGGTAGTTTGCATACAGTATAAGGGAGAGAGAGAGGCTTGCTCACTGCTGCTCCTCCCTTTTTGCTCTTGCTGCTTTTGCTGTTTTCCACTGCCATGAACTGTTGCCCTCTGCCATGTGCCACCCTGCCTTGGAGCCAATTGAGTATGGACTGAAACTTCCACAACTGTGAGATAAACTTTCCTTCCTTAATTTTGGGTGTCAGGTATTTTGTCCCAGCAATGAGAGAGAAGTAACCAAGACACCTACACATTTGCTGAGCCCTTATCATATGGAGCCCTGCCCTTGAACCTTGGAGGTTTGAAGAGAACAGGCAGCACCTCTGCCCGTAGCAGCTCTTCATCATCATGGAAGGAGACAAACCAATAATACCATTCCTAAAAGATGCTTTAATGAGATAAAATATAAGCCATGATTAGGGCACATAAGATGGCAAAACCAGGGCTGGGGATTTAGCTCAGCGGCACAGCGCCTGCCTGGCAAGCGCAAGGTTGTGAGTTCGATTCCCAGGAACTGGAGAAAAAAAAAAAAGATAAAAATGGGGCTGGGGATTTAGCTCAGTGGCACAGCGCCTGCCTGGCAAGCACAAAGTTGTGAGTTCGATTCCTGGTACTGGAAAAAAAAAAAAAGATGGCAAAACCAATAGAATCCCAGCTATAGGCCCTCCTTGAGTTAGAAAGATTGCCACCCAAAGAATGGCAGTGTTCTGACTAAATGAGCTCCTTCTGTACTATAATTTCTAGTCATTGGTCACTCAAGTGCTTCATCCTTCCCTCAGAAATAAATTTCCAGAGGACATTATTTATTTATTTATTTATTTATTTATTTATTTATTTATTTATTTTTATGTTTTTTTTTTGTCTTTTTGAGACAGTTTTGCTATGCAGTTCAGGCTGGCCTTGAGCTCACTTTGTAGTGCAGGCTGGTCTTGAATTTGCAGTGATCCTCCTGCCTCAGGCTCCCAAGTGCTAGGATTATAGGCATGTGCTACTACGCCTGGCTTTTTTTTTTTTATTTTAAAGAGAAAAAAACAATAAAAACAGTGTTACAGAATTTCAAAAGAAGATAATAGGAAATTAACAATGGTTAGTATATTGTGCATTGTTATTTTCAAAGTAGTTGCTCAGATTACAAGATATAGGCATGCAAAATCGATATAAGCACGAACTGTCCCCTTCAATGAACTAAAAGAAATTAGTAGTATAACCATCTTAGCTATCTTGTGTGTGTATATATATATATTTTTTTCTTTTCCCTTCTTTTCTCCTTTCCCCCATCCCAGTTGTTCCAGAGGGCATTTAGACACAAATTTCAGGGCATACAGTCTCCATCTTAGGAAAAAAGGGAAAATTTCATTGCACTCTTCTTGCTGAAACTCAGTCAAAGCCTCCCTAGTTCTTCCCCCTTCATTTGTTCATATCAACCCCAATCTGCAATTCCAACCATCAGTCTTCCTGCAGAGCTCCTTACCAGACCAGAGCACGTCTATACCCTAAACAGAGCCAGTAATGTAGACAGTCTCAAGCTGTTTCATGGAACAAGCATAAGCCTCAGGTTTACAAGTTCTCCTGTTGTCTGTCAACACTTCTATGTAGACTGTAGTCTGTATTGTGTACTGAAAGTTCAGTTTTAGCCTCTAGCTGGCCAACTCTGAATCTAGACACGATCAGCACCCTTTGGACAGATGTCCTGTCTGGCCCTTATCATCTGCCATGATTAGCATGTTTCAGGGAGACATCTTCGCAGGCACGATCAGCACTCATATTGGGGACAGCTCTATCGTGCCTCCGATCAGCACCCCTGAGCGGATAGCCCCCACCGACCCCTGTCAGCAGCAGGGGCGGACAGCTCCAACGCAGCCCGATCAGCACCTCAAGGCGGACAGCTCCGACCGGTCCGATCAGCACCCGAGGGCGGACAGCGCCCGTCACGCACGGCGGAGGTCAGCGCGCCCATTTACGCGGCGCAGACCCCAGCTCTGCCAGTCGGATCCCCCGGGGCGGTCTCGCAGCTCCCAGGGCCGCACCCACCCCTCGGCGACGCCCCTCCACGAACTGCGCACCGCAGCTCTCCGAGGTGCGCAGGCCCCCGCCACCGCCTTCCCCCGACTCCCGGCTTAAGGCCTTCCCTCACCGCGCCCCTCCTGCAGACCCTGAGTCCGTGCGCTGCACCCTCCGTCACCCCTTCTTACCTGCCGCTCGCCCCGAAACCGACCGAGC